ATACAGTCAAGGCTGTGTTTGTTTTTGTTTTAGGTGGGTTTGGGTTTTTTTTTGGTGGGGGGTAGTTAACAATAAACTCTAAATTGTCCTACCCAAAGGAAGACATAAGCAATGCACTCACCAATTAGTCATATACATTAAACATTTTATATTAAGGAGCTACAGAAATGGCTGCTCCTCCAAAGGACCCATGTTTAGTTCCCAGCACCCACACGACAGCTCACAAATGTTTGTAACTCCAGTTCCCAAGGGATCCAAGGACCTCTCTGCCCTTTTTCAGGCCCCATGCATGCATGTAGTGCACAGACACACATACATGTGCAACATCTATACACAAAATAAATTTAAAATGAGAAAAAAAATACTTAACTGCATGAACTATCATTAAACTATTCCCCCACCCCGCACAGTAACTCTCAGTAACCATCAATAACCTGAAATAATAGAAATAATGTCAATGGAAGAAAAGCCCAAGCCAAATGCCTGCACAAAGTCCAAGCTTGCTAATACACCAAGTCTCAAACTGCTCAATTTCAATTCTTTCCCAAACTTCACCTGCCCCCTGGTGGCCATCCAGCATGAGTGCAAAGAGAAAAGTTGTTGGGTGTTACTTTGTAGTCTGAAAAGGGTCAGAAAAAAGCTTGGCAAAGTTGTCAGGAAAACAAGCGAAGCAAAGTTTGGTGTTTAACATGGAACAAATCATAAGGATTAAACTTCAGTTGGCTTTTGTTGTTGGTGGTGGGGTTTTGGGTTTCTTGTTGGGGGGGAGGTTGTTTTTTGAATAGCCAGTCTCTTATTTGCAGAGCCATCTCCCTGGCCTCCATTTCCCTCTCTTTTAAAGAATTCTGAAAAGCAATAAACAACACTATCTCTTCCTAGGCTCATTCTGATCATATATGCCAAAAGGCTGTGCTCTATGCAATGGCTCCTAAACTAACACTCTCATGATAAGCTCTGGTATGCTCCTGTTCTTTATTTGCCTTCCACCAGGTACTTGCATGAAGGACAAGAGAAAAACAAAACACAGGTCAAAGAAGAGAGGGCAAAGTTCTAAGTCAGTTAACATTTCTTTTCTGTGTTTTCTAGCCACACATTTTTTTCCCTGTCTAGTTGTTTGTATTCATCTTCTGCTGTTGTAGCAAGAACAAAATCTGCCCTCAAATTTTAAGCCTGTGTTATGTTGTAACAGTGTTGTAGCATCTTCATCTTTAATAACAAACTAGAACAACTTCTCATCTCTTGGCAAGCATCTGCTAGTGCCCAGAAACCATTGCACCTTCTGGGACTATTCTGACTATTTTAGATACCAAATGTAAACAAAGTCAGTTAGCATCATTACCCCTCTCTCCTGTGCATTGTCTGCTTGTGAGTGACACACATGCCACAGAGTGCATGGGGAGGGCAGAGGACAACCTCCAGGCATCAGGCTTTGTCATCAACTGTTCTAGATTGATCATCTATCCGTCTGTCCATCTGTCTGTCTGTTCATCTGTTCTGTCCTTCCCTTCCCTCCCCTTCCCTTCTTTTCTTCCTTGTATGTCAAGCTAGCTGGGCCAGAGTTTGCAGAGAATCCTTTATCTCCCACTTCCTATCTCCCCATAAGAGTGCTCAGATTATGGATGCTCACACTACATGTCCTTATGCTTTCACAGAAGTACTTTTACTCACTGAGCCATCTCCTTGGCACCATTTCCTTTGTATAGTACTGTATGGACATACCACATCTTCTGTATCTCACAGACATTTAACCTATTCTTATATCCAGTTATTGGGGATAATGCTGCAAAGAACGTGGGAGCTCAAATCTCTTCCATATCCTGATTTCACTTTGGTAGATCAGCCCTTGGTGGATATATGGCCTCCTGAAGGCCACTTGTCGTGCTTCTGGCTGTCTCCCTCGCTCTGCAGAAGATCGCACTCTATATAGTCTCCCCTGTCTCGTGCTTCTGGTATCAAACCAGGAGGCTGTGATCAATCACAGAGCCATGAAAGCCTTGACCTTTCATTTCCTTCTAAGAGTTTTTCAATTTTCGGTCTTATTTTATGTCATTTGGATTGTTTTCTGCATATGAGGTGAGGTGAAGTTCAATTTCACTTCTCAATTTAGCTCTCCTCAAACTATAGTTCTTCTAACTGGGTATTTTTGGCAGTTTTGTCAATGCTCAATGGACCGTATGTATGCCTCTGGGCTTATTTCTGGGTTGTTCCATTGCATTGGTACCCACCTTTGTGCCAGCCCCATGTCATTTAAATTATAAACTGATAGACTTGAAAGCAAGACTTTTGTTTCCAGCTTTGTTTCTCCCCACAAGATTGTGTCTAGTTATTTGGGGGGTCTCATTTGGCTCCCCACAAATTTTGCACACTGACTTTTTCCACAGGGACTGTGAAGAACAAGTGTGGTTACATTATCTATTAAACAAACCAAAGCTCAAATCATATGGCTGTCATAATTATTAATCTCTATTATTACACCCATGTTCCAGGAAAGGCCTTCTCTATTCAGGTGTTTGTTTATGGTGCTTTTATTCTTTTGTACACATAAAACCCTTCTGTCTGGAGTACATTCATGTGCCCAGTGTGAAGAGATCTAGCTAAGGTCAAAAAGGTAGCCATTGTTACAGTGCGATTCACTAAATGACCCATTCTTCCTAACGGAGCACAAATTTTTCATGTATATAAATGGTGTCTGCCCTTCCGGCACAAGGGCAGAGCTGAGATCATGAACATGCAATAAGAAAAGATGGCAGGTGCACAGAGTGGCAGCATTGTATTGCCACCCCAGAGCAGGTCTACTGCCCTTGGCCACCTCCTGACACTGGAGGAAGGAGAGGCAGAAAGCCATGGGCTATATTTATGAAATGGAGCAGAAGGAGCAGGCATTTCTACTTCCAAGACAGACATCATGGCACCTGACAGGGATGGTGCACAAAACAGAAAACAGGATAAACCCAACTTGGATGCCTATGGTATCCCAAACAGCTCCCATGAGTGTCGAAAGCAAGTAATAATAGCATGCTGTGGTGTGTACCATCTTCCTCATAAACAGCAAGCATGTTTTATTTAGAGCCATTGTTGCCTAGAATCTCACAGCATCATAAGCTTTAAATAAAATCACAACAGCTATAACCCAGGGAGGTGGTTCATGGCATTGGATAGGTTTTCTCAATTGCTTTGAGAAGTTCATGGAACTCAACAATGGAGTGGGGGGCGGCAGGGGGTCACCTCTAAAATAAAGCCACTGAAACTGTAGCAACAATGAGAACTGTCCAACTTATCAGCCCGGGCAGCAGGATTAGTTACCAGTTACCAGTTAAGAGCCTGGGATAAAAATATTCTACATGATCAAAATAATTCCCATACTAGGATTTATCTGCTAAACATTCCCATGCTGCCAGCTCTGGAGGGACTGAGGAAGTAGCCAAAGTCGGACCACGAATAGCAAATGGAGAACCAAGATTTTCACCAATGCCCGAGCCTGACAAAGTCTTTTCTTCTGTCCTTTCCTGTCTAAGGTAACAGAATTTCTCTAACTGTAAAACTGAAATAATGGTAGAACATCACAACTATTTCCTCCCCCGCCCCCCTCAAATTAAAGAGGGGCTAGAGAGATGGCTCATAGGTTTAGAGCACCCTACTCTTTCAAAGGACCTGGGTTCAGCTCCCAGAATCTGCATGGCGGCTCTCAACTGTTTGTCACTCCAGTTCTGGGGATCCGATACCTTCTCCTGGTCTCCCAGGACACTCACTGCATGCCTGTGGTGCACTGGCTTACTCCAGGCAAAACACACATAAAGAAAAATCTTTACAAATTCAAATAAAATAAATACATGAAATTTAAAATTGAAAAATAAACTTAAAAAATTAAGTAAAACTTGAGGTTGACTAGTGTATGGTCAGCACTGTTCCATCTCGGATCATACCAGAAGCTAGTGTGGAGCTCATTGACAATAACAATGGTCCAAGTGACTATAATATGCAGGTGCTTTAGTTTATTAATGCCATTTTAAAAAACCTGCCACAAGAAACATCACAGACATGACTATAAGATATAATGGAAACATGAATTGATATATCGAACCAACTCAAACATCTAAGAGGTTAATTGTTATTGCACTTACACCAGGTGACTCATTAAAACTGACCGCTATGCGGTATGTGACAAAATGGGACTTCAACATTTATAAGTATTTTTACTTCAAAAGCCACACACAGCAACATTTCCTCGTTGAGACTCAAGCAAATTTCATGTCAGCCTCCAGTTGTGAAAGTAACTAACCATGCTTACAACTGGTTCCCATTGCATCCTGTGCAGACACTATGAGAACCTGGACAGCAACTGCAGTGTAGCCCTTCTTTTTCCCGGCTTTCTGTTCTGACGTGCAGTGGGCTTTGAATCCACACGACTGCACTACTGCTGTAATATAAAACAAGAGCACGTAGGCACTGCACAGCTGACTGCAGTCAGTCCTGCATGCCATACACACAAATTCCAAAGAACACATCTCATAAAATCTGTGGCTCCTCAAAAGGGAGTAGGAGACTCTCAATGTAGTTAAATATGTGTTTTAAGTTACAGACTGTCTTAGAGATGTATGCCCAACCAAGGGGACCTGAGCGGGGGTGGGGCACCATAAACACAGAGCTGCCGACCTAATACAAGGGGTTTTAAAATGGCATCTTAAGACAGTTCTATAATTAAAGATGATGCAATTTAAAATAGATTTGGAGAAGTGTCACTTTTTTATTTTACATGAACCATTATTTGGAAAATCATTTTAAGGTAAATTTATCTATATAATGAAAGGTCCTCTTCCATTAGAAACTCAGTCATGCTTCCCAAATGCCATGTCATATGCAGTTATTTACTTAAACCTTAAAGCCTGAATTTTGACTTAAAAGCCTACCAGTAAAGTCACTATAAACAAATTCTAATATGTTTGATCATTCCCTTTCAAAGTATTTTTTTTAATCTACTCATGCTTAAAGTAGTCACTTGCCTGAATTAAAAGCTGTAAATAGACTCTTTCTTGAAGGACCTAGAATGCGAAAGATAAAACATGTGTTTTATTAGAAAAATACTATACACAACTTAAGCCATTTTGTAAATCACAGTGGTTTTCTTTTTTTCAAAAGCCCTCCATTAACCTTTAAATTTCAGGTTTGAGCTAACCACTGAGAAAATCCCAAGATGCAAACAGCTTTATCAAGCATACTTTTTTTCAAATATAGACAATATTGTAAATATCTAATTTGTTAATAAGAGCAATTCATTTATTATTTATTCTAGTATCTGAATCCTGGGCCCCACAGATTAGGAGAACACTGCACCTCTGAGCTACACACATGATGACCAAGAGACACTCATTTAGCAATATTGAACTCACACTTTCCCTATTCTACTGCACATAGGAAACAGGTGACATTTTATACAAGAGGGCTGCTGGTTTGTGCCTCCCCAAGGGGCTGCCTTCTATTCAGCAGCTGTGAGGAAGAAATACACTGGAACTTTTTCTCTGGACTGAGGCAATAGAAACTCAGCCAAGAACCAAACAGGTAGATGCTTGCAGTGCCTGTATTTGCCATCAAACAGTGAATAGCCATCCGTAGGTGGTTAGAACTGCCACAGTCCATCTGTGGAATTTTAAAGAGAGGATAATCTCTTGAGAGTATGTGGCCATCATAAATGGAAAGTACTGACTCCCTTCTCTCAAATCAAGCCTCAGTGAGACACTTGCAGACTCAAGGGCTGGCCCTTTAGAAAATCAGCTTGCCCTGTTTTACAGTTATCAGTGGGGTCTCTAATTGTCCTCTGAAAGTCACCTCAGGGTCAAAGCTCCATCACAGGGTTTACTTTTAGTTACTGTTGGGAGGTAGTATAGGGCTTCAGAAACCACAGTTTCCAATATTAATGCCATCCTAGCAAGGGACCATCTGATGCCTCAGAGCTGTATAGAAGACAAATAAGATTCTGATGGCACAATGAATAACACACCTCTAAATAGGACTCCCCCTAATCAGGACTCCTCCAATCCCTTATTTTTGGTCTTTTCCCCCTTCAACCCAGTAGAAAGAAAAGAGCATTGCTACATGTAAGCTAGCATATGTACACAACTGCATACATACAAAGATGAAACCACTGTGCTCACTGTCCTGAAATAAAAGCACATTTGTATTTGTTTGAAAATTAACCATATATATATATATATATATATATATATATATATATATATATATATATCTACATACACACACACACACACATATGCAGAGAGAATACTGGGAGGGGATGCCTCAGTGGCTGCTGACTGCTTTTGCAATTTTCTGACATAAATATGGGCCTCCCCTATTCTTCCAGATAAACAAGCTTTCAAAGACCTATGAGCAGAGCTTTGTCAAGCTCTCAGCTGTGACAAGGCTACATGGAAATACTGTAGGTTAGGTATACACAGATATCACACACTGCATACGCGCGCACTCTCTCTCTCTCTCTTTAAAGATTTATTTATTATGTATACAGTATTCTCTCTGCATGTCTGCCTGCAGACCAGAAGAGTGCATCAGATCTCATTACAGATGGTTGTGAGCCACTATGTGGTTTCTGGGAACTGAATTCAGGACCTCTGGAAAAGCAGTGTCTGAGCCATCTCTCCAGTCTCATGCTCTCTTAGTAGCCACAGCAATTTCAAAGTGAGTAACACAGAAGATCAGATACAAAGAGCTTCCCTTTGAACAAGAGAAGAAGGTAACAGACATGAACCATAGGATCAGATAGGAAATAGCCCATGCTCCTTGCTCCTCCATCTCCCATTTCATCTAGGGCTCATCCTAGAATAACTGGATGCTAGTATTATTTGCTAGCTTCCTCAGACATCTCCGTTCTACCTGGTGATTTCTGGGATTTGCTTTATTTCTTATTTTATGTGATGGGTGTTTCACCTGCATGTGGGTCTGTGTGCATGTATGTGTAGTGCCTGTGCAGCCTGGGATCTAGAGTGAGCACAGCATCAGATCCCCTGGAACTGGAGATATATATGGCTGTTAGCCACTACATGGGTGCTGGGAATTGAACTTGGGTCCTCTCTCTGCAAGACCAGTCAGTGCTTTTAACCACAGACATCTCTCTAGCTCCTACCTACTGATTTTTATTATTGCACTTTATCTATAGAATTTACAGACTCTTGGAACAAGAGCATCTCATTGTTAAAATTTTCTTACTCAATGGGTTTTTAAACATAGAAGTAATTGTTACATGTACCATAAACCTACTTGTCAAAATTTGACTTCCTAAAAGCCACAGAATTTTAAATTCTTTAGTTTCCTTTTCATCACTATGAAGACAATACCTTTCTGAGGAGTTTTGAGCAAGTGTGCGTGAGCTCTGGGGACCAAAGGCTTCAGATATAAGGCTCCTGACCCATTCTGGAAGGTTTGTTTGGGAGCTTTCTCTTCATACTTGATGACAGCAGCATTACCAGCTATAACAAAACAGAAAAATCACATCTATTTAACACATAAAAACAAATCCCCCATATTTATTTCAGAGAGACTACATACAACAATAATTACTGTGTGTCAAGAAAGCAGAGGTAGTATCTGGCCTAAATTACGCAAAATAAATGCAAAAGCCTACATTTTGTTTCCTTGCATAGCCCCCAAGTTTATGCTTATTTCCAGCTTGGCTTTTATCTCACACAAAAGGTAGAAGATACATGGCTTCCCATGCATGTAACAAAACCATATCCCATGCATACACAAGAAAGCATCCCTCTCTGTAAAGACAACATAGACTATAAGTGGCTGGTGTTAATGAAGTTTAAGAAGATCAATAGCATACAAAATCCTCAGTGGCTTCCAAGGTTTTCAAAGAATCTGCAGTTCTGCAGTGAGAAGTCAAGCTGCCAGCATCCACCCTGTTACAAAGGTGTCCAGCCTCAAAGTGAGGAGGAAAAACAATCATCTACATGAAAACACAAAATCTCTCCTCCTCTGCTTACAGTCCTGAACTTTTTTTCCCCTAAGAAATTGTCAACACATAATTCTTGGCATACAGTTTTATTCCACCATTCAATACATAATTTTCCCCCAGTATACAATGCTCCACATGAATGAGCATCAGCCTAGTGTGGGAGCCATATTACTATCTCTGCATCATTTCAATTTTAGTGTACGCTCTGTGGAACAGGATTGAATTACTGACTTTGACCCCTTTCTTCATACTCTCTATCTAGCAAAGGGTGATTCACAAACAAATAATGTGAAGTCAACAGTTAATTTTCTCATTAGGCTAAATGACCCCCACCAACAATAATGTTCACACACATCAGATGCTCTCCTAGTCCTCACACAGTATCTGTACCAAGCCATCTGCTAGCTCACCTTCTGCCCAGATAGCATCCCTAATATTAGATCGGGACAAATGCACCCTCCTGCTGGCAAGCTTTTGCCTAGTTTCTGTCCTGCTTTCCAATTCTCACCTTGCCCAGAACCTATACAGTGGGACTTTCCAAACTTAGCAGGATGCTAATGGACAAGGTGGTGTACATCACATTTTAAAGGACACACAGTGGTGTGACAGCACTAACATTTCATGACAAATGGGCATTGGATTTCAGTAGGTGCTTAACCTACTCGAATCCCATCCAAGAAGCCCCTTTTGTTATAACAAATGGATTTCAGACTTGCTTGTCTTAAAGCAACTTTTTTCCTCTCAGCAGCAAAGCAGTCACTTATTCCAATGTTGAAAAATTCAGTTGAAGAATTCAGTTCAGTTAATAACAGGATATGTTGCAAGTGGACTAAGAAATGGAGAAGACAGAAATAAAAGAGAATGCAGTAACAGTTTCAGAAGCAGCAATTTTCCTGCTAGCAAAGTGCTTCTTGTTGGTCCCAGTGTTGACTTGCAAACTAGCATTTCTTACTACATTCTGGTGTCTAAGTTGAAATGAGTTTTTGTTTTATTGAACTACACGTATCAACACTCTGCTCATTTCTGGAATTCTTTGTGAATCGGCTTAACGCTCTCCACTGTGCCAGATTGTCTGCCTGCCTTGATTTAAAATCAAATCATTCAAGTCTAAATTTCCAAAGTTCAAAAGCAAAAATCATTCAACTTTGTAATTACAAGAATTTCTCATAAACATCATCGAAAGATACTAAAAAACAACAAAGATTAGTAATCATCCGCATATTGCCTCATGTGCATACCAATGTGTCTTGTGACCTGGAGTCAGCACCACACACTGCCTACCCCCTTTCCATTCTTCCAGACATCACTAGTCAAACACCAGCCTTTTCCTCTGAATCTGGATTGACACTATAGGTTCTTATCAGCTTTCTGGTGTTGACAAATAAGGACGTACTCACTAACCATTCTTGCCACAAGAAAAACAATACTGAGGATCAGAAGATTCATCCTTCTGCCCACTTGGGTCAGTTGGGCAAATCAACGTGCATTCCTTGCAAATGATGAGGCATTATCATACTGCGGTGAATGAAGAAAACGAATCAGAGGCATGCTCCTGGAAGGATGCTGATGTTGGTCCAGTTCTTCCTTCCCATTCATCAGATTCAACAACTGATGCTAAGAGATGATTGTACAACTCACCAAGAGTTAATAGAAACTAGAACAAGTCCCAGGTGAGTGCCTGTTCCTATAGTCACTTCCTGTTAGCCAGGCTGCCATCAAAGTAGAAGAGAGGATGACCCATTTCTTTACTTAGTCTTTCTGATCTATTGCTGAAGGTGCACAAATAGCTTTAGTTTGCCTCTCTGCCATTGCCCCATACCATCTGTCTCTTAAAAATAAATATGCTTTGTGGCCAAAGGGAAAGAGGAAGGAAATCTCTAGCCATCATAGTCCTGCTAATGTGGCAAAACTACTTTCTCAAGACCTGCTTTCATATTGCACAATGATCTGTCACATTTGGTATAGAAAACTACCATTCAATCTTTATGCTAATATCTAAAAGGGGGTTATTTTTTTTTTGCTTTAATTTTTTTCCTATGCATGCATTAGAGAAAAAAAAACAAACAAACCTGCTAAACTCACAGATACAAAAAATTGCTTTATACATCTTTGTTCAATCCACTTATAACTTGGTAACATTGTTTCTGAGGACCTCAAGTACTAAGGACCAGATGCCACCTTCCCAATAGCACTGTGGTTGGTTATCTGTGAAATTCTTAACTGATGCCACTAAAGAAAGCAGGCACCATCCTTTAAAAGACTCCAATGTTGAAGCTGTCCAGAGTCATGATCTCCAGCAAAAGATTAATTTCTTTCCTAACGAAACCCCCTATACCAGCAGCAAGATAATTTTGGCTCAAAATGATTTTCATATTTTAAGGTAGCTTTTTTTCTTAAAGCACATACACATTTAATACTTTGTGAATCATATTAACTGAAATTGAAGATATCTGATGCTTTCACCTAAATTCTAAGAAAGTAATTTTTTTAAAAAAATATTTACACAACTGCCAGTCACATACACAATCAAGTAATCTTTGGTAATAGGATAAAAATCATACCAGAACATTGATAAGCTGAATTATAATTTAAATTCCCAAACACACAGAAAACACACAATAAAACTAGTTCCCAACAGATCATTTCCCATCTTAAATATGCATAAATACAACCAAGAAACCCCACAATCAACAGAAATCACAAGTAACAAAGCTAACAACCAAGAGGTCCTAAATCAATTTATTTAATAAGAATTTAAGCATGCTTACAAAGCAAAGAATCAAACGAGAAACTGTCGACCTACTTCTTTTCCTAGTAAGCGTGGCTAACAAAGGAATTATACAAAGGCTGTAGGATCCCACGACCAGCAGTGCCAATAAGGTAGCATCATAGTGCCTTTCTGAGCCAGCCGGGGGTGTGAGTGTAGAATTGATAAAGATCTGTGAAGAAATATCAGTTTCTGTACAACTGCGAAATCCTCCTGGTATAGTCATTTAAAAGGATCGAAGCAAGCTCAGGCAGGGGAAGCTGCAGCCATGTTCACGCTCACATCCCTCATGCTTGCTCTCAGTGAATTAGGATGGGGAGGGGGAGAACTGTAGCTGCCAGGCACTACACTGAACAGATTAAACCCGGCTAGCAAATCAGACTAAGAAAGAGACTCACTGATGTGAATGCTTAAATCTGTGAGAGGGACACATGGCCACTAGACAGGCTCTGTGGGTGCACGGGAAACGCTTTTGTTAAAGGACAAAAAGGAAGGACAAAAGCATTTCACAACCTCCTTGGGAAGGTCAGATGTGCTACTCCTGGATGGCCAGTGGCCAAATAAACATGGCTGTTCAATAAAAAATGCTGGGTATGATATTACGGAAGGCTCCCAGTGCCACAAATAATACCACGGGGCTTTTAGGGCGTCTTGGTGATTCTGGCAGGGTAGATAATTTATTTTATTTTATTTTTAAACTTCCACTGTAGGACAAAGTCTGGATGGGAGACTACTGTAGAATAATACATATATATGTGAGTCATCTTTTCACATTCACAGAGAATTATGTGTTACATGCAAACCCTCTGGGGTTTCCTCCACCACTTTAAGTTTCAAACAATAGGCAGATAACTTAAACTCTGTTTAAGTAATACATTCTAGTACTTGTCAGCTGCCGCTATGCAGCCCTTTACATGCCCATGAGACCAGCTGCTGCATTAAGTGACCTGTTTGAAATGTGTCCTTTGTTACTAACTCAATGCCTAGTGTTCATAAACCATTCTGTCACTTATTTGCTGTGTGACTTTGGACCTGTAAAACAATCTCTGAGCCTAAATTATGTCCCCTAAAAGACCACAGTAGCCCTGTGATGCTGTTTGGCACCCAAAGGGTTCAACGGCTTTGGCCCCATTTACACACACACACACACACACACACACACACACACACACACACACACGAGGCATGGATTTGTCATTCAAGCAAAACACTCACATTTCCAGCTCCTCCTCACAAACATGCCGTCTGTACCTTTCTCATCTGCATCTTGTTAATAATGACATCGCTCTGTACCCTGCACCCCCTCCCTGTACCTACTGAGACGCCTGGGCACAGCAGATCCTCCAAAGTTTCTTAACTACTTCATGAATTCTTTTGTGAGGAAATTTAAGGAGAAAAGAGAAAAAAAGCACAAGGAAAAAAAAACAAAAAGCACTGTTCTGAATACTTCATTTGAATAAAAGAGGGAGGGGGAGAGGGAGAGAGCAGGGGCTTAGCTTGTTTGCCCACTTGACATGCTGAAAACAGAATTTACAGAAACTTCCACAGTATGATTAAGCTTAAAGATAAATAATCTATACCTCACTGGCAACTAGCATCTAAAGAAAGAAGAGAGAGAGGAGAGACAGAGAAATTACAAAGCACTTTTACAAGACAGTCTTTCAAAAACCGAACAAAACTGCGGTGGTGGATTTCTGCTTTCCAATTGGACCACTTAGAGCCCCAGCTACTTCCCTTCCCTT